CGGTAATCCTGCAAGTGATTATTTTCATCAGGAGGAAAAAGGAACTGATGAATGTGGGCAGCTTTATCATCTTTGTTAGAAACGTGTTCATCACCTAGAAAAATGACTTTGTATCGATTCTCTTGCCAAAAAAATATGTCAAGAACAGATCACGACAGTTAAACACTGCCACCATTTGGTGAAAATATACATTTAAAAATGACTTTAAATAGAAAAATATGTGAAAAACTATGATTTTTGCCTTGTGATTTTTTTCTTTACAACGAATGTGAATTTAATTGCAAATCATGAGGCTTTCGTGAGATGACCCAAGGCATAAACAGCTGTTAGAGATTTTATATTTGCAAACATGTTCTCCCTAAAAATACCAACAGATGGTCCTGTCCTCATACAAAAACTCATTAAATCCTGCAGGCTGCAGGGTCACAAACATATTTAAATTTAAAGCAGCATCCCGAGAACGGAACAGCAAAGCCAGGTTGTCGAATAAAACACAGCTCACATTAAAACTATCTACTTTTTCTGTGTTGACTGATTAAAACCGCACCGTTTTCGAGGACGCTGTATCATGTAGCTGAACCAGATTAAAGTTTTTTTTGCTCATTGCTGCCCCGCTTTGGCCTCATTCAATTTCACACAGCGCTGCTTCCTGTCAGACACGAGCTGCCACCCAGACGCCCTCAACAACAGGCTGATGTCCTTGTCAGCAGCAAAGAAGCTGGTGCACAATCAAAACTAGTAAATGTCTGAATTGCAAACAAATATATTATTACCTGCAGATGCAAGACCTGCAACATAAACAAGTCAAAAAAAATGTTATCTTTAAATTGCTTTATAATTTGATTTCTCACAATTATATTTGTTTTTAACTGAGCTGGTGGTGGACAGTAACAAAGTACTTTTACTTTATTACTGTAATTAAGTACATTTTTTGAGTATCTTTACTTTACTTGAGTAGTTATTTATTTGGGAACTTTTTACTTTTACTCCACTACATTTCAAAGACAAATATTGTACTTTTTACTCCACTACATTTCAAAGACAAATATTGTACTTTTTAC